AATTACTTGTTGAAGAATGAAAAAGCGTATTTTCCTGAACGTAAATTATGTATACATCTCGACCGAGAACGAGCTGCGAAACAGTGCTGTGAYCAAGGTAGCTCAAGCATATTGTGCATGCGCAATGAAATGGCCCCTTGTTAAAGACGCCCAGTAAGTCTTAATTTATTTGTATTTYCGTGCSCGSTGTTTTCGCTTGCTTAATTATAGTTCTCTTGGGTGGGCATTACGTTGAGTAAACATTTGTACTTAAGCGACGTTAATCTTCATTAGAATGGATGCATTGCTTTCTACTATATACAACAGTATCCTGTGAGGAGGCTTAATTAATCAAGAATTAGCGATATGGAAGGATTTGGAGTGGTATCGACCATTACAGCAGTATTTAAAAATAGTGTAGGTTTTAAATTAAACARGTGATTACGAACTGCGCGGCGCTGACGTCACGTTTTTTTGACGAACACACGGCTTTTATAGTAAAGGAATATGTGTAAATATGTGAACACAGTGTCTCAAGGGTGTGGCCATCAATTTCAGACGTGAGACAAGTGGAAGTGTTCTGCTCTAAATAATAAGGTGTGGTCATCTACTACGGCAGACATCACTGTGTCATAGATCAACAACGTGTTCTAACAGCACGTTTAGTAATAGCTTTAATAGCTGTTTTGAATAATAAGGTGTGGTCATCTACGKCAGACATCACTGTGTCATAGATCAACAACGTGTTCTAACAGCACGTTTAGTAATAGCTTTAATAGCTGTTTTGAATAATAAGGTGTGGTCATCTACGGCAGACATCACTGTGTCATAGATCAACAACGTGTTCTAACAGCACGTTAGAAATAGCTTTAAGGGTTTAGCTGTTTTTGATAATAAGGTGTGATCATCTACGACAAACATCACTGTGTCATTATTGATCAGCAACGTGATTTAACGGCACGTTACTGAGTAACAGACCAACAACGATTGGTTATCTATCCCAGACTAGTTCCTGCTATTAATTCTATTTTCATTCGCTAGACATTTGACAACGTGATCTGAAAAAAACACGASGAAGATCCATGGCTGAATTGTCTTAATGATGACGTTTTCCTGGGAAAAACTTAAAATGTGTTCTGAGGAGATGAAAAACTCTCTTTTCTGATACTAAATTTTAAAGTCAACTGCTTAAAAGGTGTGGTTAACCATGTATTAGAACTCGCGTTACGTGAGACCGTGATGCATGAGGTATGGCTGACCAACCATATAAAACATTTTGAGATTTGTCAGTATGGCTGACCAACCATTTCAGCATTTCGAAATTTATTTGTACTTTATCTTGTTTAAGACGCCAATAAAGAGTGCTACAAAACTGAGATACAAGAGACGTCATATTCCCGTGTGGTTCATATTTAGATTCCTACAGTTTTCCTAAAGGCCAACCGTCTGAGAAAGAKATGAAAGATAAATAAGTTTTCTTCATTCTTTTATACTTTCCAAATATATTTAGAGAGGAAAAGTTTCTGAATTATTGTGTATTTGTGAAGATCGGCATTTTTGTAAACCTATTCAATTAAGAATTTTTATTCGCGGAATTTTGAATAATCAGCCGCTAGTTCCAAAGTCTGTGTTTTGACTCGCAGTAATCCCAATATAATCGATCATTGAGGCAGAGGTTTTRTCAAATAATAATTGATTTTACGCCAGATCATTCTTAACAAAAGAGTTTTCTATATTTTTTCGGCTAACAACATCTTTTTGCAACCAAAACGGAAAAGTATCAATTTTTTTCTCCAAATCAAAGTGCTAACTTTTGTTTTGCTTAAAGATACTCCAGGGACAAACGAGCGGAAATGAAAAAAGTGTTGTTGTTTTTCAATTGCTGTTTCGCAATCAACATGTAGACAGTTGAATGGYTCCTGTAAAACAATTTACTATTTTCATTTTTCATTCGATCACCACAAAACAATCTGGGTAAAAACTATAATGATTGGAGCCCTTTTTCTCAAAATATCGTCCATCTGCCATTTTCAAAATGCAGTTGAAAATTAATTAAAGCCGAGAACATTAGCCTTTTTTTCAAAACTTTATCCAAACACCTAGCTGGAAATATTTCATTCCAGACAGTAGAAGGCCGTTGTATGTGGCAAATAAAGCGGCTAGATATGGTGACTATCTAGCTGATGTGCCATTCAGGGTACCGCACGGCTCGATATTAGGACCATAGTAGTTTTTATAAAAAAAAATTAKCTAGTGCATAAAGYTGAATCGGGATAGCAGATTCTWGAACTTAAATSTGYTTGAAWTTTTTCGGCAGCRTAGAGGAAGTTCCCGTGTGCTACTGTTGAACATGTTAAAATCAGAGTATTGAATAGAGRAACTCACCTTTACAGTGGATTTACAGTTAACTATGTTTAAAAAGAGCAGTGGAATGTTTGTAGCGATGTAAACAATCTCATAAAAGCCGTTTCAATTCGAATAAACTTTTAAGATTAAGGTTATTAAAACCTGTAACCATAAGACGGCTAGTCTTTAAATAGTCATCTCGCTTAAACAATGGTTTTGATTCTTATCGTATTTTTGCAAAGAATTGAAGTCACAAAATATTTTTAACATTGCAAACAGTATTTATTCATTGTATAAAAAGAAGTATGACATAAGACGATTTTTTGTTGACAACGTGATCTAAAAGCACGTTTGCGAGTACAATGTTTTCTGGGACTGTTTTCAGCTGAATTGTCCAACACTGTCCAGTATGGTCCAGATTGTAAAATATATCAAGATGAAAYTAGATGCCGCGATATTGGCACCTTGTGATTTGAACGACACGTGAAAAACAGCTGCCAGTCAAGCAGAGGGAGCCRACGGGGTCTGTTCTTCTAAATAATTGTTCTTGTATTAATGTTTTCCTGAGAAAGGGATTTTGAGCTACATTGCTGACAATCTAACAAGCAAATATGTCGTCCTTTCTTCATTAAAATAATTTTGTTCCTGGCAAACGTTTTTAAGGTCAAAAAATGCTTATGTAACGTTTTCATGGTCAAAAACGACTTATGATTTTTTGTCAGAAATTCTTAGGAAGTATTCTTGCCTTGAAAGCTCTTTTTTTCCTGAATTTCTCGCTGGCAACTARTTGTGACTTACAGCTGGCTGGGACATAAGAACAGATATATTTCTCCCAGGAACCCGTCGGCTCCTCCTAGTCAAGTAGCCAGTCACTACACTTGTTCCCTTCAATAAACACCTAATTGACAATGATACTAATGGCGCTGACTTGAAAGTTGCTACAAWTTAGACCTGCTGCACGAAATAATGCGATTGTTAACTTTAAGAAAAGGTTAATAGAATGAAATCTTGCTAAATTAAAAACAATCWATCTTCAAATCATGCAGTAATTTACTAATTACAAGACCATGACAAGGAACGTGGGATCATTGGTCACAGACTTGGAATCGGGATCACTGTACTGGGATCACAATCCTGATTCTCCCTTATTTTTATTTCCGCGGAATCATGGAATAACAGTGAAAACATAGAATTATTTTTTGATGTCATTAGCGAATCGAGGGAAATGTCGGTAAGGGGGACAGCATAAAGGGATATACAAGAGAGCTCTTGTCTACACTCGTGCAAAGTCTTAACATAAGAAATACCGACGATGTTTTTATCAAGTTATGATAGATTGTTATCAAAAACTACTGCAATAGATAAAAGTATCGGAACTCGAAAAGAGGATTATTCGTTCGTTTAGCTTTCGAATTCCTGACTGTATCCCGATATTTTTGACATTTTCATATAAACACTCTTTAGGTGGTTAACAAAACAAAATGCTCAAGACGTGATCTGAATTTTGTCAATACCGGCTTATTTTTTTCCATAAGTGTCTATTGATTTCCGAAAATTAAGAATGAACAAACTTATTCAATCGAGWCTAACAGTGAAAGTCTAATGGTTTAAGATTGCATGCGACGGGTGACAGAAAGGGAAAACAGTAAATAAACTGCTTGACGTTTTATCTTCTACATTGCYACTAGGTAACTCATATGRTRCGTTTTAGCTGAAAAWATTTCACTTTGTTTGCCTAAAAAWATTAGTGCCAGAAAAATCAACATCAAAAGAGTTSAACTCAAACAAAACCTAGACAGAATTTCTGCATGCAACAAAGCAAAAAATTAAACCTGCCCATTGTTATAGTATCTGGATGTTTTAATCTTTTTTACTTTTTTTCATTTTTTTTTTCATTTTTTTATTTTTTTGAATCTTGAATCTCTATAAATAACAATTTGACTCTAAGACCAATCAATCAGAAATTATTGCATCGCCACATGCAGTTTGAATTTCGTCTGGATTATTGTTTCTTTCGGCCAAGGTTTTGCTTATTACTGCTGACCACTGAAATTGTGACGGGCTCGGTTTTTGTTTTTTTGTGTGTATATATACTTACTTTGCCGAGTAAAAAACGTAGGAAAAAGTCCTTTATCTGCTAGCAAACTTGATTTTGAAGATATGGGTACACTCTTGAGACATTTGCTGTTATGAAATTCATAAAGAATATGAACCCGTTGATTAAGAAGAGTATTGTGTGTTTGGTCAGCGGTAATTAGCACAGGCTCCTCCTACAAGATCACTACAATGAGCAAAATCTTACTAAACTTTAAATTCACGATATCACTCGTGTTTCTTCTGTAAATTTTCTAAGATTATAAATAATATGGTTATAGTTTATTCCAGAAGTTCTTTTTGAGTTTCATCACCTTCAAATTAAAAACAAGACAGYGCCACTGGAAGCTAAAACTATAGCGCAAAGAAACTATAAACAAGTTTATGTTTTGGTAAACTTTGTGCTTCCATCATAGAGATAGAGCTTCGTTTGATTTGCTTTCATGCTTTCAACGTTTCAAATAGTGGCRAAAATGCATTTCCTTAGATGTTGAAATATTTTGTCAATTATATTACTCACTTATGCTGAACTGCGTGCTATTAAAGATACCAACAGCTCAATAAACGATGATAAATGTGTCTTAAASGACCACATTCATTCATTTCGCAATTATTAATATGTCGATCGATTGAAATTTGTTTGGTTAATGACGTTAGATAATTTGCTTATCTTTAAATTAAGGTATTTCATTCGTTATTTATTTTATTCATCAGTATCACAGCCTTCTTAGGTCGAAAAAAWTCGTCTTTTCTTATTGTCTATTGAAGCATTTTTTTAGTAGGCATTCCCTTCCAAAGACGTTAAAATGGATACTCAAACAGCTGTACCAAATGCCATTAAGCCATGATCTCGCCTTTGAGCTCCCCACTAATAAGATAAGTGATACTGTCTGTAACACTCTGTTGCCATGAAAACCTTATAAACAAACAACACGGGTAAAGATTCCGGTGATCAGTACACTCTCATGTGGAGGAGCACGCACTCTAACGACCCAAAAGTGCTAGCCGCACAATCTCAGCTTTCCCGTAATGAGGCTTTTTAAATCGTAGAGAAATTCGTTTTGCGACAAAACGCTTCGGGGCTGAAACTGCTTTGAGTTTCATGATGAATTTACCAAGCTTGCTGACTAGCTTACCGGCTGTTTAATGGATTTTTGTTTGATGAATTTGACCCACAAATGTTGATTTCCCTAGTGATAGGAGTCCTTCTCAGTGGGGATAGTTTCTTGAAATTGGAAGAGCAGGTTGCAAAAAGAAAAACAAAAGAAAAATTATGTGTTTGATGGAATAAATCGTTAATCATTGCTTGTTTTAGACCTAAATTTTGTTGAAAACAGTAGTCAATCGAACTCGACTCTCATATTAACACACATCTGGATAAAAGCTAAACAAACAAAGAAAAACAAAACAAATCAACAACGATATATCCCTTTTTCTCTTACTAAAGGTTGTACGTTGATTGGGATGTGCTTATAGAAAACAAACGCTAATTAGTCGACTAGCAATTGAAACATTTGGACCGTTGAAAACAGTAAAGAAAAAAAACTGAAAGCTTTACAACTGACGTAAGTCTCAACCTGTACAAGTTAAGTTGTTGTTGTTGTTTCTTCTTCTTTTATTTTTTTTATTATTTATTTTTTTTTTTATTGTGTAAGAGCTTTGTGTTATGTGGTTGCTTTTACAATTTAATTTGATTTTATTCACGAATATCRCGATTTTATAGAGGGGTTGGAGAAAATATTATTCAGCCTTTTTATTTTTTCCTCGTCTCAAGAAAATAAAATTTAGGAATTTTGACTGAGCCACTTTGATGAATAGTCGGGAATTTTCTTTCGAATATTGTGGCTATTCAATTCTGTCTAATGAAAGCCACATGTCATTTAGCTAGCTGATTTTGCTGGTTGTTCCTGTAATAAAAGAACTAAGTATATCTCTTTTGAGTGATGTCAATTTGCCAAAAATGGACAATTTTCCCAGCAAAATGTTTCTTGGTAAATTTGTGTAAAATACTTTTTGTGGTAAACATTCTTAAGTGTTTTTATTTTTTGCTTGAATTAATTGAAGTTCTTTCTTACCGGATATAACTGAYGGATCAAGATACGTAGATATTCAAACATTATTGGATAAGACTGTGTATGATATGGGGAATTATACAGGCTATAGTGGAATTTATCTTTAGGCCAAGGTGAAGGACAGTCTTGCATAATTTCGAATTTTATGATTTTTTTATTATTATTCCAAGACATGAAAATATTTTTTATTTGGATTTTAAAAATGGAGTTTTGTTTTCTTAAATATGTCAGTCAGCATTTCTTTGTATTGAACTAAAAAAAAAATTTTAAATTAAGTGAATAATTGTTGTTGTTGTTTTTCTTTTACTGTCTTTTTCTATTCCTTTTTCGATTTTCTTGAATTTTATTTATTCATTTGTTACTTTATTTATTCATTCCTTATTAAAATAAGTATTTTTTTTATAGCTTAAATTGAGATTTCGTCAGTAAATTTGGCGAGGCAAATTTACAAACAATTTTACATGACATATTTTGCATCGATTTATTTAAACAAATATATTGCACTAATTGATATCTCCAATTTTTGTTACTTTGGTTTTAAYAGATCTARTAAACGTTTTGCCCTACTTATCAGTTTTTTTACATCAAATAATCGTTCAGCTCTCATCGTACTGCACTCTGGCAGATTTTAAGTGTGATAGGTCTTTTTTGCCAATATTGAAATGCAATGACATAAACGAGTTCAAAAAAATGAAATATAATCGAATGAAAAAAAGGAGCAAAAATTTAGGTGTTACAGCTGTTTTTCGACCATGCCTTTAATACAACGTATTTCTAGCCTTAATTTCTACCTATGTACTGGTATTTGTATCAGATATAGAAATAAAGTAATCTACTGTTTTAGACAATGCCATCTTCAGTTTATAGTCGGCGTTTTAAGAAACATGACTCCTCCCAAAAAGACAGTAAATGAAATCATTTACTTCTGAGAACCAATTTAAAAAGTGATCAATCAATGAAAATTTCCAAAGATATTGCAAAACTGTGCCTTAATTTCAAAACAAAATAGTTKTGTGGGTATTTTTTAGTTTATTAAGGATTAAGTTAACGATTCCGTTTAACGCATTAGCTATTGTAGGTCCCTTTTTATTTTGAGAATTGAGAAATCTTCGTGGTGACCAGATTTAGCTGAAACTGCAGGTATCATTTCAAATTTTCTTTAAACTAAAAAATCAAGTATTATAAGGCTATAAATAAACAAAATGAAAATTAAAGGTATCATTGAAAAACGACTTCAGTCGTTCACCTTATAAGGAACGCGAAAAAATGGGGAAAATTATAAATTGAAATGGCTTTTTATCTCTGTAAGGGACAAGCTCTCTAAATTCAATCTTCATTTCTTAATATTTTCGTGAATATKTTTTTCCTATTCATTGTGCCATGTATAGAGTTTTCTGGAAGTAGTGATGGCGTTTTTTCTTTGTCATAATTGATTAATATTCATCTTTAACTGCTATTTTTAAAGATAATTGTGAATCAATGCTGTTTCCTTTGATTTATTTGATTAGAACGAGTTCTACATCTTAGCTATATAAGATATATAAGGAATCAATGTTTATTTTACATGTGACTGGTTCTATCACGTTGGTTGATCTATCTGTTTTTCAATCTCAGTGCCAGTCCAGTGGTCTAGTGATATGTCATGGTTTTTTTCTTTTCAGTTCTGATTTTATTCACGATAAAATGATTTGAGTAATGATTCTAGAGAACACTGATTTCTCTTCTGGCAACGGTGAAAGCCAGAATTTTCGTGAAGCTGGGAATACCTTGATTTTCGTGAACCGTGCTGGATTACGCCCCTATCTACTGCCCACCTGATCTGTTTTGACCTGTAAAACTAGTAAATCGACTTTGTATAGAAAAATGATGTTATATTTCTGTTTTAACACGAAAATTAAGAACTCGTCTAGTAGATTTGAAAACTTCAAGAATAACCGATATTTTTAATGAGATGGAAACGGAAGTATGTAATAAAACACTATTGCAGAGGTTTTTTTTTGAGAACATAAAAACATTATCCAAATTGTACTATATTATGTATATAGTTTCAGGCCCTATAAAATTTTATTTAGCGGGTATTTTCGCACGGAACTTCCATACTTTTTACATAATTTTTAAGATAAATATTATTCTCCAGTCTTTTCTAATTATGGTGTCGCCCAACTAAAGTTATAGTGATGGAATCTTCTAAAATTCAAGAAAAACCGACGCGGGTTCCTGGGAGAAATATATCTGTTCTTATGCCCCAGCCAGCTGTAAGTCACAACTGGTTGCCAGCAAAGATATAATACATTCAGAAATATTTCTTTAATCACGGAAAGGAATAGGCTCTAGGAATCTTATCCAGGAAACTCTTCACAACCCTTGCAGGAAGGAAAATTCAGTCCCGAATATCTCTTAAATACTCAAGTGTTTTAACTTACGGTGGCAAGGGAAAGTTTTTCCCAATTTAAAATTCTAGTTCAAAATCAGTTTTCCCAGGAGAAAAATTGCATTAGAGCAGTTATTTAGAAGAACAGACCTGGTCGGCTCCTCCTGAATATTAACTTCACTATTCCTCTCAAACTAACTACTGGCTCAATAGAATTCAAAAACGGAAGACGGAATTTGACATTGCAAGTGTTAATATCAGGATTTTACAACAAAAAATCACAACAATACCTGGTCAGTTAGTGTAGAATGCTTTCAGGCGATGCAACACCAAGATGGTCAATTAGATTCCAMAATGATTTGATCCCGGTCGTAGATCTGGATTGTTTGTGAATATGATGTCCACGTGTCGTGCTGTGACTCGTGTTGTTCGTRTTTGTGGAACTTTAACCAACAATTAGTGACTATTGCTTGATTAAAGAGCACTTGAAAAATTACCACTCAACGGACCCTTTGACGTCCTTYAAGACAATTAACGAAAGGTCGGGCTTAGGGGGTTCTAGAACCAAGACTGGTATATTCAGCTAGAGATTTGGAACAAGTASATGTACTTAGAAAAAATGATCATGTGACCTGTTCACTTAGAGTCMTTTGGCTAGTGTTCCATGCGCTCTTTGGTTAATAGTCAGTTTGSTTGAACACGACATTCTTAACGCTGAGCTAAGCCATTATTTTTGAATTCTATTCCAAAGCAGGTGACAAAGTTACGGTTTGACAAAGGTAAGTCTAGAAATACCGCTTTTTGTTTCTCAGTTTTTCTCACTATCTCGAKCGCGCTGTTTAAGATCTATATAAATGATAGCTTAGCTTATTGTTCAGTTTATGGGTATTTGTCATTACGGCGGTTGATTAACGAGTTTATGAAAGTGTGAATTTATGGTTGCAGGCTCACATTKTGGGCATTTCCTACGTATGCCAATTAACTCAACGGAAGCATTACCATTATCTGATAGTTATATATAAAGCTGTCCGCCTGTTGATACTTGATCATTCTTTCAAGCAACTGATACAAGTCGGTTGGCTATCACTGAGTCTTTATCTCTTTGAATAGGAAAACACGTCTTCAAAAYCCTTCAAAATCAAGGTTAGTGTCAAAAAGGAGACCACCAGGTTGGTCTTGCTTCGTTAATGTCGATTTGAAAAACTAAGTTTTCATCCAGCGTGCTTTTAACCAATTTGTTTGTYATACTTGGTTATTTGTCTTCATTTTAGCTCGCGAGATGAGATCAAATGCAGTTTCCAATCATACAGACGACATACATGTAGTATTTGAGACGTTATCGGTTTGCAAATAGATACGTGTTAGAATCCATAAGTCGTTAAATTCCATCGCTTAACAAAAAAGGACAAAAAATAATAATGRCAACAAAATAATTTTTAAGCCATGTGAAGCGTTTGAGAATAGCAGCGATTTAAAGACAATATTTCACGAGTTTAAGTTAAGGAACATTTCCTTGTTATGCTGGTATATTTTTTTGTAYAAAGGATCATGTTCCACGCTGACGTCACGCGTCACGTTTTGGCGCGCCGGAACCAGTTATATAACACCTCTCACTCAAGCACACTTTTCACAAATATGAAACGATAACATTTTGAAAAGATGATAAAAACAACACTAGTAAGATTAAGCTTATAATGTATTGTATAAACAATTGTGAAAATTAACCTCTAGGCTGTTGCCACCTTACAGATAAAAGACACCTTGCCTGTATGATATTCTCCATATCATACCTAGACTCATCCAATATTTTTGTCGATTTTGAACCACTTGATAGAAATTGTGGTCATGATATCAAATTTTGCCCAATTACTCGGTTTCAAATGCTTTGTTGCTTAGCTTCTTTCATATGAACTATGGGTTTTTCAAGTTTTCTAGCTGTGGTGTTTTGAGTATATTGAATCCAATATCAAGAGAAGTCGTTCGAGTGGCATTTGTTAGAGTTTGAGTGCCTTTTAGAGTTTGTAAACAAGTTCCTTATTCATCATGTTTTGCTTTGTTTTGTTTTTGTTGTTGTTTTGTTTGTTGTTGTTTTTCACTTAGAACTGTGGTTTTTTTTAATCGCAAGGTTGAAATAAACAACTACAAGAATCTAAAAATAGCTTAGGTAGCGYATCCTCTGAACTTTCAATTCCTCCTCTCTGCGCTACTTGCTCGAAGGGATGGAAGTTGTCAAATCAGTTTTTGTTGGTGTATATTGGGCGCCAATATGCACTATACTAAAGCTGTTTACTATCGACGATTAGACTATGGCTATCAAGTAAGTGCTTTAACGTTCGGAAACGACACTGAGAAACTGCCTACATCTTTATATATATCATTAAAAACCAGCCGGCATTCAGCGCATAGCTCTACAAGGGTCAGATTTTTCGKTTYGAACATTGTTCAAATTTCCTAGTACATAACCAGAAATAACCAAAGCAAAGCTAGAACAAAGCGAACTAGATTAAAGTTTGTTTTACTTAAAACATCCACGCGAGCTCCCCTTAGGGCTCGCTTATATGAAAAAAAAATCAGCCGACTTGCCACATTCTTAGTAAACAAAATAAAATAAAATGGGTTTATATCTAATGACAAAAGCACGCTAGCTAGCTTCTCAAATTAAAATTTTGAAAACTGAGTGAGAATAACAGGTTTGTTTATAACATTTCTTGCAACGAATCCGTGTATGTCGCCAATGTATAATATGAACATAGCCGGATTTAAAGCAATATATTTGCTTTAAGACACTCAAAGTTTTGAACCTCGTTTTCATGCACAAGCATTTTGTATGTGCTTGTTGTAAGTATCCCAAATTACATATCTTTGGTTTAGAATGAAATTTTACACTTTAGAAATGGGTTCTTGTTCATCGTTATATGACATACCTTGAAATTTCCGAATATCAGCTGTTTTGAACAAGGAAAAGTTGATGGTGAAATCTTGTTTTGTTTTWTATTTAAGTCCTGTAATTTTATAACATCGATTAGCGTGCCGGATATTGTTCTGTAGGCGAAGCAAGCCCACTTTGTCAACAAGGAACACTATATACATGTTTTTTACAAAAATCGATGGAATAAGCGAAAACTGATCAACGGCATTTCCGTAATTTTTTTGCGAAACAAGAAGTYACTATATACTCTCCTTGACGACTCATTTTTGTTTCCTGAAAATGAGAAAAATATGTACTCTAGTGTTATAGGTTAAACAAACATGGGATACCTGAGACGATGTTGTTGTGTCTTCACGGAAGAAAACTAGCATTGCCATAGAATGGTAGCGCTCAATTCTTGTCTGTGCTTCATGATTTAAAGGAATATATCACAAGCCGACTGCKATAAAKCAGAAAGTTATTGAAATTGTTACTGCATGTTGTTTTCGGCCTTCACTGACGTCGGCGGCCCGGCTCCCCTACGTTGCGATATCCCTATCTTCAACACTAAGAGCCGTTTCTCTCTCTCGCTTCAAGGCCAAGTCATAACATTGTTTTCGACCTCGACCATCAAATGAGAATTCTTGAGAATGGAAAATTGTAATGTTTTAGACGACAAAGGCGATAGACAGCTCGCCCGCCGTTAATACATAATCGAATCATATCACGAAGAATGTTCGACAAGGAAGTTATAAAAAAATTGCCGAAATATCGTTGATCAATACGAATGATCCCTACCCCCCCCCCCCCCCCCCCCCCCCTAGCTCAGAAATTATCTAAAACGTTTACACAAAAGACAAGATTTTCGATTTGTTGTATTCCATCGGAACCAATATTCAAAATGTTAACATTAGTTTATTCCCARTAAAATCGTTAAAAAAATAGTTTCCGAAAAACCAACTAACTAAAAAAATTGCACAAACTACAGTTTTAGTTTTAGAGCGCGTTTTAGCGACGTCAAGACGGATCAAGATGAAGCGAACCAAGTAATCAGTCCTTCTGCGATAAACTGGGTTTTATYGGAGATAAAACTGGAGATTTTATCAATCCGTCGGAATTAAGAATAGACCCCTTGCATGTGACGTCAAAGCAGCTTCATCTGGAGGACAAAACAAAAGATTTTTATCCTCTTGGGAACTAGAATCCATTGTTTTGTCCTCCAGTTGCAGCTGCATTCCCATGAACTGCAAGGGTCTATTTCAACAAACAAGATGTGGTTTGCGCGCATCAAGTGGGCGAAGTTCTCGACCTTCGTCTTTTTGCTCAAACTAAACATTTTCATGWCGTGGAGTTGTGTGAATTGAATTACTCGTTGGGGTAAATCGRATCTGTTCGGAAGATTAGTACTTTCTGGTATCCTCTAACATAAAAAAAAATAAACGTTTTCATTGAAAAATATCCTTTATACTACAGTAAGTTATTAGAAGGRAATGTGGTGCAGTTTAGTGATTTTTCTTTCTTTTTTTTCTCCTTTTTTGTAAATACCAGTCGATATATTAATATAATTTATTTGAAACAGTTTTAATCTTTTTTTAAGCCGCGGTTACACGAGCGATTTTCGCTTGCACAGGCGGCCACGATTTTCGGGTACGATGAAAACTGAACCGAGTTATGACATTGAGCGCCTTTTATATGGCTTTAAATCGCGTATATAAACGAAGACTGACTATTCAGTCTCGGATCAAATCGTTACTTGATTTTCTTYGCTACGCTTGAAGAGGTTTATGGGAAGACAGCTCTTTGCGCCGGTTACCGGATCCCTATTTTTCGTACGCATGCGCGACTTAAAATGTAGAATATGGCTATTGCATGACTTTTATTGCTTATTATATCAAATTCAAAGAAGGTAACTACACACCAACACCATAATRTGCCTGTAATTGTTGTTGTAGAATATATGTTGAAAAACTAGAGAAAACTAGAAGCGAAGTGTAGTAATTGCCGACCATTTCATGAAGTAATGTTAATTTCACAATGTCGAAAGACTAAATATGCAATGTCCCTAAATGGAAAACGTACGTTTGTGATGTTTTGAGGTGAACTTTTAACGATGAACTGGAATCATGATTTGCGGTGGAGCACCACATATTTCTTGGAATTTATTCATACTCCAGAGTTAATTCATCTTATGAAATGTTTTTAACGCTGAGGCGAACGGATTATTTCGCAAATAAACTCCATTAACWGCGTATTTTCAGTGTAAGATTTCCGGCTTCTCGATACCTTATCAGTACCATAATAAACTCCTATTCTAAACAGCCTAATTGCGCAAAAGGATCATTACCATWCTCCACTTTAATTGATTATATTCAAGAATCTTTATGCATCACTGGTTCTGTCCTATATTTGCCTGTATTCACCATTCAGTCAAAAMATTGATGAACCCTTTTAATGAAATTTCATTTACTTTAGACAACAGACTATAGATGGGGGCATTCAATGAATACCATTTGGACAAAAGCGTGTACGTGGCGTACGGRACGGTGATGTTCTTCATTCTGTGCCTTGGTTTGGCGGGAAATCTTCTTTCGATTCCAGTCCTTTTGCATCGCGACCACCGCAAAAAGAGTGTCACATCATTGATGTTGAATATGTGCGTGGTTGATGTTTTGCTGTGCAGTGTTGGATACAGGTATGTCGAAATATTGTACGCTTAAAATGATACAATAAGGTATGCACAGGAGGGTTATAATGTACACTTGTGTTAATGCTCACATCAAGGTACAGATATCTAAAAATTTTGCCGGAACGATACAAGAACGAACGATCGAAAGCTACTGGGGGCAATAGTTTTTATGACAAAATTCACTGGTCAAAAGCCGTGRGCATTGTTAATTCAAGATCATCGATGATGGCTTCTTTATTTTTATACAGATCTATAAATACAGTTATGTCCGCCGCATAAACCAAAGAAACATATCAATATTTAGAGTTGCTGATATTTCAAGATTAAAGCTTTACTTTTTCATAAAACTACAGATTATGCTTGAATATTATTATCATTATATTAGTATTGTTTATTAAACTTTGATAATAATAATTATTCCATCGAATTATTTGCGTCTGTTTTAGCGAGAAAAGAGCGAAAATGGGATGAAATTACCCATAATGCACTCGATATGATGATAAATGTTAGCGRTCAAAATTTTTACAAATGACTATCATACATCAAAAATTAAATAGTAGCTTTTGGTTATGCAATGTAATCTGTAAACGTGTGGACATTAGCAGAACATGAAAAAASAAATGGAGAAATTACTCACAGTAGTAAATATAAAGATTAGACATCTAATTAAAGAAGGAAATGCAGTTGCTCCGTTAAGTTAAATCASTTTRCAAGTTTAATATTAATTAGAGTGCAGCTACGATTCATAATGGAAATGAAAACTTTGTCTCTGATAGATATATAAATTTGTTTACACGTTTCAAGCTGCTATCGTAGATGAAAGACAAAAGTCTATGTGCTTAGTAGACTGAACGTCTGAAAAAATTTGATTATACAGGGGGCCCTGAAGGGGTGAATTGGATTGGGAATTGGGATTTGCCTATTTGGCTGGGAATTGTTTGTTTGTTTTTTGTTGTTGTTGTTGTTGTTGTTGTTCTAATGAGATTGGGAAAAGGTTTGGAATAGGATTTGGTTATTTCTTGTTCATTACTATGATGTCTTTTAATGCAAAAAGAAAAAGTTTTAGTAGACTAGACAAGAAAATCAAAATACATTTTATCCAAGACTTAAAAGGACAATATTTTGGCTTCCTGTGATGAGTATATTCAACTTGGGATTGCTGTGAACAGTGGGATTTTAATAAAATTTGATTGGGAATTGGGATTGCATACCCCCCCCCCCCCCCCTTCCTTTCATGACCCTCTATATATCTAAGCCCGAGGCAAAGTATTCATTCCATCATTTGAGTATGTTTATATTGTTTTGCTTAAGTTTAGTTTATTTTGTTGTAGCTAGTTAATTGATTTTAAATATACMCACCAACTAAAACACTACCGACAATGAAATCCTATTGATTTATGTAATAATTGTTATGGTTTAGTACTGCACCAGTTAATTGATGGAATTGTTTGTTATATAGTGTTTCAATATCGTACAATTTGGTCGGAAAGGAAATGGAAAAAGACGACCATTTGCGGTGCGGTTGGATTGCCTTCATCAATTGTTTTACTGGAATCGTTGGAATCATCACACTGACTCTAATGAGCTACATATCGTACGCTGGGATTACGACGATTTCAGTCGCCAACGCACAAGGAAATAAAATCACCTTAAAAAACAAGATCATGCTTGTGGCGTTTGTCTGGATCTTCTCGCTCGTTTTATGTAAATATACAACTTTTTTTGTAGTCATTGCAATAAGGGTCGCAATCAGGGGGGGTAAACAGGGTGCATGTGGACCCCCCATGGGGAATGATCCGAATAATAATTAGGCTATGTGAAACGAAAAACAAATTAAGGAGCTTTTACTAGCAACAGCCTATTTAAGGTGGAATTCATATTATTTGCAAGGAAACTTTCCAATTTCAAAATTCATATTTCTTTGCAACCTATATCTGTATAAGGGACTGCGCAATATTTATCAGGAATGTTAGACATTGCCCCCCCCCCTCCCCCCCACTCTTTAAGCACACAAAATTAGACGTTGCCCTCCCCTCTGGATTATTCTCAACCCCCCTCCTGATAAATATTGCGCAGTCCTTAATAGCTGATAAATCCATCTGTATAAATGATATCTATTATTTATTTATTATGTATTTTTTCTCACACAGCCATTCCCCCAGCGTTTGGATGGAATTCTTTCGTCCCTTTTGAAAATGGTATTAGCTGCCATCCTGACTGGGTGTCCCAGGATCCTGCTGACCGGTCATATATCATTCTCCTTGTCATCTTTGGCTTTTTCTTGCCAGCYGCTATCATCTTCGTGTGTTATTCCAAGACATATTGGTATGCAACACTTATAGCCTTATATAGCAATTATTTTACATGTTGGTGAAGTATTTAGGGAAAACAAAAAYCCCTTTGCGGTTCCCTGCGACWTCTTSAAAGGTAATTGTTCCTTTGCATCGAAGCGAGATCACAATTGAACTTGTATTAATAGAAATTAAACTTGTGAAATGTAGTCTTTAATTAGTCATGATTGAAGATTTTTATCCCGGGATTTCTACTGCGATTTCGCGCATCGCTTCAATGCAAAGGCACGACTTCCCTTCTACTCTGCCCTGATTTCCTCAGAATTCTAAGACAATTTGCTTGCCATTCGCTCTGGAAAGCTTTTTAGTTTTGCCTCTCTCATCTTTTCCGCATTTTTACATTCAATCAGAGGGGTTGCATCTTTTTTAGCCATGTACGTTCACTGTTTTTATCTTCGTTTTCTTTTCTTTCCTTCTTCTATCGACTATATAAAGCTTCATCAAAGGTTCTTCATTCCCAATCAACGACTCCAACCAAGCAATCTTGAAACGTCAAGTAGAAACACAGAAAAAGATGCTACGCATGACTGTCGCTGCTGTCACCGTGTTCTTTCTTAGCTGGGCACCATATTGCATTGTYAGCCTCATGGCCACTGCAAAAGGCCGTCCAGTTCTTTCGGGCGCTGCTTCTTTGTTCCCCGAGCTAACAGCCAAATCGTCTGTGGTGTTCAACCCTATGGTGTACACATTCATGAACTCGAAGTTCAGATTCACTTTGAAGAACATGCTGAGGTTGAACTACAACGCTGTWAGTCCAGTTAGTACTCTTGTCATGGAGAACTCAAGCTCGAATGTTGGAACTCCAGCAGCAACGACAAATTCTTGAGGTACTCAAATCATAATCACATTAATTTGTACTGTGAAACCCCGCCTAACACTCTACTCTATAATGCGTTCACCCCTTCATAACGTCCAAATTGTTWGATCTCGGAGAATTGCCTTATGGGATAATGACATCACAGTGTGTTTACACCATTGTGGATATATGCTCACAAAGACACGAAATTTAGACCTATTAACATACTTTCTGAATTTCAGTCGAACTATAGTGTATCGAGTTTTGATGTACATCATTTATCCATTATAGTCACTCTGATCCACTCTGACGACCATAATCCTTAGCGTTAAAACAATAGAATGTTTTGTGACGTAATTATGCGATAGGGCAATTAAGACCCATACWTTTCTGCTCGGTTATTGCTGTCACTTTTCTTTGTCTCTTCGGTGGTCGGATTAGCGATGTTCAATTGTACTTTAATGGTAGATATGCTGAAAATGATAACCTCATGGAAAGCTTGTCGTAATGATCGTTTTATTTCTATTTCCATTCAACAGTTCAAAGGAAAAAAACTCAACTGACTTAGCAAACGGGATTCAACGACAACAGAGCCTGGCATGAAACAGAAAAAAAAAATATATATATATATATCTTTGATGTGTAGTATACTATACTTTGAATATGAAATAGTTTGCGTATATGCGGCAACTAGATTTTTATTTATAGCGGCAGTCTCAGAACTTTGCATCCTGGGAAACCAAGGGGTATTCTTCTATAACTCGTTCACATCGCTCCACAATATTTTTTTTATTATTTATGAGAGTCAGAAAAGAGTTAAAGAAGAGTGTCTCTTTGCATATCGTACTCGGTATTTTAGAAGTGCAGTACATAATGTACACTGATGTAAATACATAACACAGACCATTATACATACCATGTCAGTATACTTTACATGGGTAGAACACAATGTAGATATATAGATAGATAACAAGGACCATTACATACCATGTCGGTATACTTTACATGGGTAGAATACAATGT